TTTCAGGGCACTGGAATGATTCTCAAGCCCTTTTATGACACAAAGCCGCAATTCAAGGATTTGTTTTCCTTCGCTAATGAATCAACTAATTATAACTATGACACGAATAGGTGCAGTCGCGTATGCAGAAATTACAAACTGGTGAGTCAACGTTTGCTCCACACACTTGAATGTTGTTAACGCAATTATATTTATTTGGCAACTTTTGTAATTGTTGTGGTTTTTGTTTAATTTTCTGACGCAGTTAATGCGAATTGGATTAAGAATTTTTTCTCCCAACATGCATAGGTTTAGATTTCGTAATGAGCCGCTTGTGGTCTGCTTCCGTAACTCAATTCTGCTTTGCATTGCATTTGGCGATGTAAATTTTAAAGCTCAATGCAATGTTGACTTATTTAGTAAGATGTCAAGCGCTCTCCGAACGTTTTAGTGGCCGACAAAAATATTAAAAATGACGCACAACAATCATAGAATTTGAGTAGGCATTTGAAAGGAATATGCTGTTGCGGCTTAATATTCTGCATATCCAAGCATCAATTCGGTCCTTCTTTAGCAAGAAGTGCCATGCAGACGAATATTTCGGTTGCGCTTAGTAGACGTTAACGGGGTTAAAATTGAACTAGCCCATGCGTTGCGTGAGAATCATGTAGACCAATTTTATTTACTTTGCAAGATGGTGACGGCATCAGTGACAGAGGTGGGTTGTTCGATGCAGAAGTGCCCATCCAAACGCAGCAAAACAAGAAACAGATATTACCTGATCTGTGTGTTCAACAATGCGTAAGTGAAACACGCAACCGTTAACTTAAAAGTCAAACTCAACATCAACCAACTGACAATATTGTTTATATTAAGCGATAACAACATGAGAGGAAGGCCGTACCAAAGTCGACACGACCGCAGTGACTGTGGGGGCAAATCAACGTGTTCGGTCAATGCCCATTCTATATCGACAGAAAAGCCTACACGTTTGACAACGAAAAGAGATCCCACGTTTTTGGACCTCATGGTTACCCTCAACGACACATCAGCCAAATTCCAAATTACAGATAAACCATCAACAACCGCAAGAGGGGCTTCTGATGACAAACAGACAAGTACGAACTCAACTATGGAACATCCAGTAACAACATACCCGTCATTAGGCACAACTCCAGCATCCATGATCACGCAATCTGATGACAAAACATCGACTGACAACCTGACTGATCCAGCGGACACCACTAACTTAAGGGAAGTGCAAACTTCAACTGCAACTACCAACGCACATTCATCCCACGACACACCGACTAGCGACTCAATCCCCACAGTCACCGACGAAACTGTCGCTACATCTAACACACCATTTGCAGATACAACTACGCTGACAGATGCCAAGTTGCCAGTTAGCGACTCAACTGCCTCAGTTTACGACAGAACATTCATATTGTCGGACTTGTATCTATCAACCACACCCACGCAGCCTCAAGACGAAATGCCGATGCATCACTCAACTGCCTCAGTTCTCACCGAGACATCCACAATCACGGACGCACCAATGACCAAATCTTTGCCATCTGTTCATGAAACACGGACCAACATCTCAGCTGTTCCAGTTATCACAGACACGACATCAGCAGCCACTAACGCACGATCGGATGAAGAAATGCCGACTGACTACCCGGCGTCTACAGTGTTCACTGCTAAATCTACGGAAATAGTCACATCGTCGAAAATCACTACCACATATTTTAATTACCACACAGCAAACAGCGATGTAACTGCCACCGACAACATCGAAACATATGCCATTCGGAACTTAACTTTGGCATCGACAACTACGCTATCTGATGACGAAACGACTTCCATAGACCCAACTGCCACGGTACCCGTAGCGTTATTTGTATCACTGGACACGGCAGCAGCAAACACAGACACGCAACCTAATGAAATGGCGGCAATAGACATGAAAGCGTCTCTTCCTTTAGAAACAGCAATACTGTCCGACACAACTCCACCAACAATGACCTCTCAATTTGTTGACCAAACCACTGTCGACGACTCAGGTGCTTCGGTGTACACTGACACATTCACGGTCACGGACATTCCACCAGCAACCAGAGTCATGCAATCAGCCAACGAAATTCCCCTCAATCACTTCACCGACCTACTTTCCACTGACACATTCACAATCAAGGACACATCATCACCTACCCCAAACAAGCCAATTATTAACGAGATGCCATCCAACGACTCGTCTGCAAAGGTTCACGTCGCTACACTCATGTCAGCAGATACAGCACCAACAAACACAGCAATGCGCTCTAATGATGAAACAACGACCGAATACCCTACTGCCTCACTTCATGAAACGCGCACAACATCACGATTCACCACTTTTCCAATTAGGGGCGAAACCGTTGTCGACGAATCAGGTGTTTCGTTTTACAGTGACACACTCACAATCACGGACACAGCATCTGCATTAACCACCACGCAATCTGAGGACGAACCACTGCGTGAATATACAACCAACCCAGTTTCCACTGACGCAGTCGCAATCACGGACACATCAGTAGCTACCGCAACAACGTCATTAATTAATGAAATGCCATCCAACGACTCGTCTGCAAACGGTCCCGCCAGAACACTCACGTTAGCAGTCGCAGTCACAGCAACTGCAGCCACAAAATCTGATGATGGAACATCGACCCAATACCCAACTGACTTACTTCATGAATCGGGAGTATATCCAACTTCCACAACTTTGCCGATTGTTGACGAAACCGTAGCCGTCGACTCAAGTGCTCCTGTGTCCACTGTCAAATATAAAATCACCGACGCACCACGGCCTTCCACTACCTTGTCATCTGCCGGTGAGTCATGGACCAAGTACTCAACTGGTTCACTTGTTGCAAGTAGATTGACAGTCACCGACGCAGCACGGACAACCACAGCAAAGAAATCGGGCAGCGAAACACCGACTGACTACATTACTCCTCCAGACACCACTGCCAAATTCACAACATCAAACACGCCCCCACCAAAGAAAGCAACGCTATCCAAAGACGATTCTCCTGCCATCCACACAACTGTCTTTGTTCCCACTCCCAAATCTGCGATAACGGACACAACACTACCATCCACAACTCATCCATCTGCTAAAAGAGCACCCACGAATCACTCAACTGACACTCTCACCACCGCCAGCGTTTCAGTCACGGACGTGCCACCAGCAACCACTTCTAGCACGCCTTTTCATGTGGAAGTCCAGTATGAAAACTCCACTCATTCAGCTTCTACTGCTGCCTTGTCGTCAAATAATTCATCTTCACAGTTGGTTTCATTCGAGTTATCTAAAAATCATTCAACTTCTTCAGCGTATCTTAAGTTGAGCTTCAGTGTTCTTCAGTTACTTTGTGTCGTGTTTAACATCTATCACTGATCCTTTTTCGTTGTCTGCTTTTTACAATTTCGTCTTCAATTAATGGTTGGGTTGAATATTTTCAATGAATTTCAAATTCACATCTGTTCACCTCACTGCAGCCACATTTAATTTTGTCGACCTTTTGCGTGGTATTTCTGAAATATACTTGCCGTGTCATTCTGTTCATTCCCATCTATGTGATTTACATTTTTGCCTAGTTAATCTGCCCAATAATAATATTATGGTTATGCAGTAACTCTGCAGAACGGATTGGTGTAAAACTTGTGTCATTAAAAAATCGCAAATGCGAATGACAATATGCGTGGTCATAATTGTGGTTCATTCCTACCATCAACGTTCCACCAACTAACAGGTCCGTGTGTCTGTCCTGAATTGCTGCAGAAACAAGAGAACTACTTTGTTCAAACCCGTGGCAGCTTTATTTGCATAACTTCACGCATCAAGATTGCTACATTGGGAGGCATTTAGCTGCTATCACATCTTGTTGAAGTACGTCAATTAGTCCATTCACATTCCTGTTAATTGTGCACACTGTCATGCCACTTGTCGTCGTCCCCATACAACGGTGCACTACATATAGCAGCATCCACGCTGAAATTGGCTATGAAACTCCAACTTCATTCTCTATCGATAGTAAGTTTGCTTGATGTTTAAACTTCGGGGACAGATATGTGCGTCTTACACTGCGTACTGAGAAATCTAAACAACTACTCTCTATTTAGTAGGACTGCATTCAAGCAGATGCTTCGGTGTGCAAGCAGTCTTACATTAGATTTTATCACAGTGATGATTGGAGTAAGCGAATGCAGCTTATTATTCACAGCACATTCGACTTCGAATTGGAAACACTTTGGTAGCATCAAGAAACGTTTATGACCGCCTAGCTCAGTCAGTGTAAACCACAATGCGAATGTACCATCGAAGAAAAGCAAAGAAATTATGCCTTGCTGTAACAGAGTACACAAACACACGTGGATCTTCATTCCACGACGAAGTGACACTTCAGAAACTGGAATGCCACGTCCATTCACCCATAAATCATCCCACATGAAACCGAAGGTGCGACATTTTGTGTGACTGTGTTCATGTTTGGCAGGTGACTTCTGTGTGACGCATTGGCATGGAAACGAATGCAGTCTGCACGAAGCCTTGCTAGCTTACCTCCATCCATTGCGATGCAATCAGATAGAACAATTTTTACAAGCTGCAAATTTTGACGTCGTTGCGAGGTACAACGGGTTCCAAGTGAACTACTGAAACACGAACACGAATAACAGCTTTGTGCTTGAAAACGAAATGTGAATCTGAATCGGTAACAAGCAGCGGCTGTCAGTGGAAGGGGTGTTAGGCAAAAAAAGGTACAATTGCATGCCTTTGTGAAGTGTTTTGAAGATCCCTGAGGTGCTGTCATGTTGTTGTCAATGTGTTGCCACCTATTTTTGATGTAGCAAACATTGCCATGAATGTGTTTATTTTTCAACTTATGCAGTCGAGCATTTTAGATGATTTATGCTTAATTTGAACTCCCGAAATTTTTCTGACAATTAATACTCAAGACACTTCTTCCAACTAGCAATAGGAATGCGTTTGTCTCGCAGTGTCGTCAGTACCTGAGTGAAGGATTCTTCGTCCAGGCGAGGTTTAATGCCATTGTGCCAAACACCAGCACAATATTGACAGATTTTATCAATTTGCTTATTCCGTGAGAGCTAGTCAGGCCACTGCCACATCTAATTGCGAGGTAACACTCTCGGTTATTCAGCAAAATTCTCTAGTACTCGTGCAAACATGATGACGCGATGACTTTGTCACCTTCGCAAGTCTCAATGTGTAGTGTGATTGTGGATCTCAAGAGGTCTTATGGAAACAAGCACGAGGCATTTTGCATGAGGGCTCCTGCATGTTGAAAGGAAGAAATTTGGAAGGCTGAATGCCAAGTGCGCAATGTCCGGAGTAGTTGGGATATTAAGGCAACAAATAACATACTTGCCTACATGAGATATTAATGTTTGGATATATTCTTCAAGTCCTAGTGTATTGGCAGCAGTGAGCGCACCATATGTAAGGAATTAAGCATCACTTTGACAGCTGAAATTGCACTGCCATTTTAGTCTTACCTCGCAGGTCCCAATTATCGCAAGTATCACGACGTATTTTGCATGATGTTACTTGATATGATTGTAAAAAACAAGTTGAGGACTCACACAAACGATGTCATGCACTCCCATTGTATTGCTGACAAATAATCTCGATGCATTTGTGAAGGCAGACATTACTTTCCAATTTCTAGTTTCACACATTCCACGCTAAGAGAAAGGCCAAAATTTTTATTCAATACCCAGCATTTTAGTCCACTGGAAGCCCAGAATGTGTCGGTATGCATCGCCTTTCAAGCACCTCTGTTTGCATGGGCAACATCTGCATGGTGGCAGGCAAGGCGTTGTCAGTAATGGTAACCGACTTCACTCACAGAATGTGTCAAAACATGTGAGCAAAATGCAGTTTTAAGGCTCGAAATATGCAGATACCTGTCATTCACATGAAAATGTGCTTATCGTGTCATCTATGTATGCACATTTAAACAGTAGGATCGGCTTTGACAAAGGATCTCGCTTTTACTATTCATGAATTTTGTACAGATAAAGCCCAAAGTAACTGGACTGGTGCCAAAAATTCATGTTACTTTACTATTGTGTGTTGAAATTTTCGCGTTAACAGCCATATGCTGTTTCAAAGCAAATGTGCTGCACAAATGTACCAATGAATTGCAACAATTTTGGAATAGAAATGTCATTTGATATATGAAAAATATCCTCATTTATGCTTGCACAAATATCATTAGCGATTTTCTGCTTTTTTTTAATAATTCGAAGCTAACCGCAATTGCGACATGTGTTGAGGGCAACTGCATGTTGTCTTGAGCCACGCTGAAGCCACTGCATCAGTCGGCCGATTAAGCTTCCCCGGGGTGCAGGTGAAGATGCGGAAGACCGAAAAGAGCAAGTTACATTCGTTTACTGGACAGCTGAACGCGGTCGTATCGTGTTGACTGATGCAGATGATCGGACTTGTAATAATGCAGACATCTGAATAGTCACATGGATGTAATGGGTGGTGGTAGTACACAGTGACTGACTGACTCACTGAAAAGGGATTCGTGTGTGAGACTGTGACAACCGGGTTATAGGACGTGAATCAACATCACTCACTGCGAAGGCCTAAGCACGTATTTTGAAAGAAATACCAAATTAATGTACTTATAGCCAGTTCTGCGAAATTCTTTTTGCACTTCCTTCATGAGAGTAATTTGTATTTTTTAAAAGAAAAGTGTTAATCAAATTAAATGAACAAAAAAATACAATCCAAGTAAGAATAATTACTTGTAATTTTTGAATTTCCAACTACGCACTCAATATTCTCTTTACATTCAGTGCGTCAATTGTTCAAATAGTTACAATGCGTCTTATTCTGGAAGACTAGTTTTATTTAAATAAATGTAGCAGAAATTAATACGCATAGTTAGGAAAAACTGGTGTGCAGCATCATGCTACCCTGCTTATTTAAGGTTCAAACATTTTTCCCATTATTAAAATGCGTCACTTTTATCGTTGAATGATAGCTAAACTGATATTTAAGCAACCACTTATTTTTAAATTCAAATCTAATTTCAAGCTAGTTGGCTTTATTTTAATTAAACTTTTCGGAATTGACAGCAATTAAGTCTACTTTTTCATTTCACGAATAATTTCTTATATTTGGAACATGTACGTTTGATATATTTAACCTTACATGGGGATAGATTTAAATTATAGCTTAAAGCAATGCCTACATGTCCAAAAAAGTAAAATTTCCAGGTTCCATCATAAGGCTTTTGTGAAATTAAAAGGCCTTTTGTCCCAATTTCGGCTCCAGTTAAAATCACAATAACGATTTTACGACGATGTTTAGAGCAAAAATCATCTCCATTGCATTTTGACAGAAAATAGGTGATACAGAATTTGATGATACCTACATCGTGACATTGCTTGTTTGATTTGATGATAGCCTGTCTAAAGCCTCACAGTTACCTGAGGCTTCTACAACGCACTTGTTTGCCACAGGCCCTTATTCCATTGGAACATCTCAAATCGTGTTGTGAGTTTGATCACAAAAATATGTGTCATGTTCTGCTTTGTGGTTTGCAAAGCGCTGGCGACACAGGCTCCTCTTCGCCACATATATAAACACCAGCTAAAACTCTGCATTTCTCAAATCGGCAGATATCCTAACACCTTCCAGGTGAGTAGTATTTACTGTCGCAAATTGCACCTTCAAGACGGTAACACATTACCTCAAAAATTTCAGACCTGATGCTAATTACCACCTGTCTGCTGACTGTCCTGAACTGTGTGGTTGCGAGTGTTCCCTCGGAGTCCGAACAATCGGAAATAGTGCGAATTCTGGCACAAGTGCGTGGAGGCGTCGAACCACCAGCCACCAACATGAACGTTGTGGTGCGTAGATGAGCACTCCAAATTCTCACTGCGTTCTTTTATTCTATAACTCAATATCACTGTGTTGCATTCCGATGTGCATGCCCTAGCATTCCTAACCAGGATACAAATGCAAATTAATTTACGTTCAAATGCGTGTGCAGTCAATTTGGGTAGCGCTTTTCCAAGCAAAGTGTACAGAGCCTGACGTAAGTCGGCAGTGTAGATGTATGCGTTCAGAGTATGTGAGACTTATCAAAAAATGTGCAAATGTTGGTGAATGACATGCCTTTGACCATTACAAGGTAACATTACTTTTACTGTCTTTTAGAAGTACTCTTCAGAAATGCAAAATCTTGCCGTTGACTGGGTGTCCCGTTGTTCGTACCGATACCCAAAATCGAAAAAGACATCGCAATTTCAGGGCACTGGAATGATTCTCGAGGCCTTTTATGGCACTGAGCCGCAATTTAAGGACTTGTTTTCTTACGCTAATGAATCAGTTTATTATAACTATGACACGAA